TAGGTGTTGTAGTCAGTGAACATCCGTATGAGTCAGCGCAAGCAAGCCTTTTCTTTTTAATTAATTCACCGTAGAAATTAGTAGAACCTCCTCATTTGCATCTGTCAGGAAGTTCTTGTGGGAAATAAAAGCGAATTTTGAGAGGACAATGCGCAGAATGTCAACGCTTGAAGAGATAAAGCTCTTTTTACGCAGTTCGCCGCACTGTGGTGGTGGTGGTGGTGGTGGTGACGGCGGTTATGGATAAGGACACTGCCGTTAAGACATCTGGGCATAGACCGTCTACCGCTGGTAATTATGTAAATTAAGTTTATTCATAGAAACGTCTGGCAGTAGCGATATGTGCGACTGAAATATGGTCAGCCCTCTCCCCCCCCTTCCTTGAAATCTACCGCAGACCGAACCTCAAGTTCACTTCAAGGTCATTGTTGAGTGCTGTGCATCATGACTGTGAGAATGGTGCCTACCGAAGAAGCCCCACCCCGCTACTTATAACACTGCATAATAGCGTGCAACTTTCTAAACTCTGCAGTCTCTGCTTAACTCTAAGTCTAAAGCTGTGAACCTTAACGGTATACGTCATTCTGATTCAACTTTTTTCACCATGACGATATCATTTATGTACCATTATGCGGTAGGCAAATGTTTACGCATTTTATTCTCCTTCTATCGAGTAAAAATCAGTAAGGCAAAGATACTTTCAGGCATAGCATTCGCGTAGTGGGCAGGCGAATGTCAGCTAGACCACTGAAATCCATGCAAATGAATAAGGGGAACATATCCTATTCAGGCTTCTACTTAACGAAAAAACGTAGTAAACACGAAAGCGTGGATAACAGGATGGAGTTATATTTCCATGGTGTCCGATTCGTACCTAACTTAACTAATAACTAAACTGATCTTAACCTAAAAGTAAATTAATAAACTAAAAACTTAATTTGAACTAAAACTAATAAAACTCAAAAACAACAGAACTAGGGACAAGAGATATCTAAGGTGGTAGACCAACTTTATTCTCACTGCGAACTGTATTAACACTTTTTGAAATCTATAGGTTTAGTTGGCGAGCATGCATAGGCTTTCGATTAATTCTCCTCAGGCAATTTTCGAAATCTTTCCCATCAGAACGCATTGCGTTTTAATTGGCTGAGCAAATGCGGTTACCTTACGTCAACTCGTTTGGTCTTGACTCCATCTATCTTGGCTGGTGCATGTTTTAGAAGCTGAGCAAATTAACGCATGCGCATGGGGCATTATGACAAGAAAGGTAACTTTCTGTGTCATTATGGTCTTAGTTCTGGATATATAATGTTTCAAAGAGCTCTCCTCCAAACGCGAATATTTCTTCGAATGCTGATCAAATTATCGATTTTCCTGAGGATTGTCTGTAACCTTTATGGTCTTGTAGTGATTTGCGTCTCAAGGTCATTTTTACCACTACGTTTTTCAAGGTCATTTTACCACTTTACATTCTTCATTTTTATTGCTGACAACTGGTCCTCGTACTCTTTTCTAGGCATTCCATCAGTGCTTACGCTTCATCTACTACGATGACCTTCAGCTGTCCGATGACATTGATGAACTCTACGACTTACTCTACGCAGCCAAGAAATACCTTCTGCCACAGCTCGCATCTGCTAGCGCCTCTCAACTTATCGTAAGCAAATGCAAACATGTGTGAACATGTTCTTTTGTATTGAAATACAGGCCTCCCAAGATACAAAATTAAGAAGAGAAAGGCTTCCTTGGGAAGGTTGAAACTTTAGCGTGTTAATTTTTTGTAACGCCTATTATTGCAGACTGACATAAGCCTGCCAGTCGGTGTGCACGTCAGATGAGTATTGATTTTCTGGACGTTTAAAATACTTTGATTGAAAAAATTCTGTGGGAAATGAGAAACCAACTTTATTGTAAAATTTCGACGCAGGCAAACCAGGTCGTCGTCGGACTTGAGGGAAATGTGTAAAGAACTTTGCGCATTTTTAAACAGGCCGAAAAATCGAACATGAACATTCAGTTCTAACACTGAACTTTACGAAAACGAACTCAAGTACCTTTTCAAATTATTCTCAAAAATTTGTTACCCTAGCGAGTTTGTACGCCGATGCATGAGAAAACAAGAGTTTAAGCAAAAACAGAAAGAACTAGATTGTTCCGATCAAGTGCCCAATCCAAGAAGTTGGCGAACACTTCCATGTATTATAAACGTGTCTGAACTCGTTGAAAGACATCTTAGGAAGTACCAGATCCAAGTGGCGCACAAACCAACGACCACGCTTAGAAATCAGGGTTGGCTATTTGGACAGAAAAGAGGTCGTTTACCAAATCCCTTGCGGCGACTGCGATACAATTTATTGTGTACAAACAGTAAGGTCCGCCTCTTCACGCATACATGAACATTAATTGGCGGTAAAGAGGTGCGACCACCTGTCCGAAGTCGCAATGCGTTCGCTTGAAACTGGGCACAGGTTTCCATGGGACCAGACCCACATATTAGGTTCCTGCCCATATAAGAAAGGCCGCGAATTGTTAGAAGCCATTTACTCTAACGAATCATGCATCAACAGGCATGTTGATTTGCATTCAATGTTCATAAATCTCAAAAAGGCCTTGCAAAAACTCCAACCACCAGGGCCTACTATTGACCATGGATGACGAATCACTATCGATTTTTCGGCATGTTTAAAAAGGCGCAACATTCTTTACACATTTTCCTCAAGTCCGACGACAACCTGATGTGCCAGCGTCGAAAATTTACAGAAAAGTTTGCTTCTCGATTCCCAAAGAATCTTTTCGATCAAATTATACTTCTTGGGATGCCCGTTTTCAAATTCAAGTTTGAAATATTTTAATTGTTTGTTGCACATTTTCTCAGATCTGAAGACGAACGGGAAAAC